TTGTAGGATTTTTAATGAATTTATTTGCAAATTATGGTGGAAAATAAGTATTTGGTCAATAACAAAAGTTTCTCAATACTTTGTTATATACCCTTTGTTGGCAATGACACAGGTCAAACGTTTTCTGTAAGTCTTCACAAGGTTTTCACACACTGTTGCTGGTATTTTGGGCCCATTCCTCCATGCAGATCTCCTCTAGAGCAGTGATGTTTTGGGGCTGTCGCTGGGCAACACAGACTTTCAACTCCCTCCAAAGATTTTCTATGGGGTTGAGATCTGGAGACTGGCTAGGCCACTCCAGGACCTTGAAATGCTTCTTACGAAGCCACTCCTTTGTTGCCCGGGCGGTGTGTTTGGGATCATTGTCATGCTGAAAGACCCAGCCACGTTTCATCTTCAATGCCCTTGCTGATGGAAGGAGGTTTTCACTCAAAATCTCACGATACATGGCCCCATTCATTCTTTCCTTTACACGGATCAGTCGTCCTGGTCCCTTTGCAGAAAAACAGCCCCAAAGCATGATGTTTCCACCCCCATGCTTCACAGTAGGTATGGTGTTCTTTGGATGCAACTCAGCATTCTTTGTCCTCCAAACACGACGAGTTTAGTTTATACCAAAAAGTTCTATTTTGGTTATATCTGACCATATGACATTCTCCCAACCCTCTTCTGGATCATCCAAATGCACTCTAGCAAACTTCAGACGGGCCTGGACATGTACTGGCTTAAGCAGGGGGACACGTCTGGCACTGCAGGATTTGAGTCCCTGGCGGCGTAGTGTGTTACTGATGGTAGGCTTTGTTACTTTGGTCCCAGCTCTCTGCAGGTCATTCACTTGGTCCCCCCGTGTGGTTCTGGGATTTTTGCTCACCGTTCTTGTGATCATTTTGACCCCACGGGGTGAGATCTTGCGTGGAGCCCCAGATCGAGGGAGATTATCAGTGGTCTTGTATGTCTTCCATATCCTAATAATTGCTCCCACAGTTGATTTCTTCAAACCAAGCTGCTTACCTATTGCATATTCAGTCTTCCTAGACTGGTGCAGGTCTACAATTTTGTTTCTGGTGTCCTTTGACAGCTCTTTGGTCTTGGCCATAGTGGAGTTTGGAGTGTGACTGTTTGAGGTTGTGGACAGGTGTCTTTTATACTGATAACAAGTTCAAACAGGTGCCATTAATACAGGTAACGAGTGGAGGACAGAGGTGCCTCTTAAAGAAGATGTTACAGGTCTGTGAGAGCCATAAATCTTGCTTGTTTGTAGGTGACCAAATACTTATTTTCCACCATAATTTGCAAATAAATTCATTAAAAATCCTACAATGTGATTTTCTGGAGAAAAAAATTCAATTTGTCTGTCATAGTTGACGTGTACCTATGATGAAAATTACAGGCCTCTCTCATCTTTTTAAGTGGGAGAACTTGCACAATTGGTGGCTGACTAAATACTTTTTTTCCCCACTGTATATATTTTTTACCAGTTACAAACATAAGAACAACAACTTACAGACGCACACAAACAATGACTACATCTCATCTGCCCAGATCCACATGCTCACACCCCCATACCTAGTACCTGCATTATTGTTTGCCACCAGTGGAGGCTCCTCAGAGGAGGAAGGGGAGGACCATCTTCCTCAGTGAATTTCATAATAATAAAAATAGTGAAACATTAAAAAGTTATCATTTTTAGATAAAACTATACTAAATATATTCACGTCACCAAATAATTCATTAAAACACACTGTTTTGCAATGATGGTCTACAGTAGCCTCAACAGCACTCAACAGCACTCCACAAGCAAATGTAATCCATTTTAGAATAAGGCTGTAATGTAACAAAATGTGGAAAAGGTCAAGGGGTCTGAATACTTTCTGAATGCACTGTAGGTAGGTAAGTTAACTAGCTATCATGGCCAGATTACATGGCAAGTTTTTTTTTTTTTTTTATGTAATATTTGAGTCACTCAGACATATGAACACGCAACATAAAACATGGCAAAATGTGTAGAATTGCAGGAAATTAGCTTTTAAACTGCAAAATGTTCTCTCCACTCCAAGGCAAAACATTTAGAATTTCAGGAAATTAGCTGTAAAACTGCAATATTTTCTCTCCGCCAACAAGAGGAGTGTGAACAGTTTGGGGTCGCGAGGTAGGGGTTTGTTACTATGCCGATTAAATTACAATATCCATCCAGATCTTTGCCACCTAGGAAATTTGTGTGACCGGACCTTCTCAAATAGTATTGGAGTAGCACTGATCTAGATGAACAAACCCTGCTACAAGTGGTTCAATACAAGCTGTACTTTGAGTAATGGGGTTCTCATTCATTGCCTTTGTCACCATAGCCCACACGGAAGAGACCCTTAGGCTGGCTGCCTACCGCAGACTACTGAAGAAGCTGCCTCCTGACAACAGAATCACACTCAACGCCCTCTGTGGACACTTCTACATGTAAGAACAACACACGATCAATGATTGTAAGAATTAACAGGGCAACAAAATGAACCTGCATGACTAATGCTCATCGTTGTCAACCCCTTCTAGAGTTCAGCTGTACAGTGTAGAGAACCGTATGACAGCTCAGAACCTGGCGCTGGTGTTTGTCCCCACACTGTTCCAGGAGCTGGCCATGAACACAGACATGGTGCGCCTCACCAGAGAACTCATCATACACCACACATTCATCTTCCTGGTAAGACGCTAAACTTAATCTCTTCTGTTGGGTCATCGAACATACAGTGAGGGAAAAAAGTATTTGATCCCCTGCTGATTTTGTACGTTTGCCCACTGACAAAGAAATGATCAGTCTATAATTTTAATGGTAGGTTTATTTGAACAGAGAGAGACAGAATAACAACAACAAAAAATCCAGAAAAACGCATGTCAAAAATGTTATAAATTGATTCGCATTTTAATGAGAGAAATAAGTATTTGACCCCCTCTCATTCAGAAAGATTTCTGGCTCCCAGGTGTCTTTTATACAGGTAACGAGCTGAGATTAGGAGCACACTCTTAAAGGGAGTGCTCCTAATCTCAGCTTGTTACCTGTATAAAAGACACCTGTCCACAGAAGCAATCAATCAATCAGATTCCAAACTCTCCACCATGGCCAAGACCAAAGAGCTCTCCAAGGATGTCAGGGACAAGATTGTAGACCTACACAAGGCTGGAATGGGCTACAAGACCATCGCCAAGCAGCTTGGTGAGAAGGTGACAACAGTTGGTGCGATTATTGGCAAATGGAAGAAACACAAAATAACTGTCAATCTCCCTCGGCCTGGGGCTCCATGCAACATCTCACCTCGTGGAGTTGCAATGATCATGAGAACAGTGAGGAATCAGCCCAGAACTACACGGGAGGATCTTGTCAATGATCTCAAGGTAGCTGGGACCATAGTCACCAAGAAAACAATTGGTAACACACTATGCCGTGAATTGAAGGACTGAAATCCTGCAGCGCCCGCAAGGTCCCCCTGCTCAAGAAAGCACATATACAGGCCCGTCTGAAGTTTGCCAATGAACATCTGAATGATTCAGAGGAGAACTGGGTGAAAGTGTTGTGGTCAGATGAGACCAAAATCGAGCTCTTTGGCATCAACTCAACTCGCCGTGTTTGGAGGAGGAGGAATGCTGCCTATGACCCCAACACCATCCCCACCGTCAAACATGGAGGTGGAAACATAATGCTTTGGGGGTTTTTCTGCTAAGGGGACAGGACTAAGGGACGATGGACGGAGCCATGTACCGTCAAATCTTGGGTGAGAACCTCCTTCCCTCAGCCAGGGCATTGAAAATGGGTCGTGGATGGGTATTCCAGCATGACAATGACCCAAAACACACGGTCAAGGCAACAAAGGAGTGACTCAAGAAGAAGCACATTAAGGTCCTGGAGTGGCCTTGCCAGTCTCCAGACCTTAATCCCATAGAAAATCTGTGGAGGGAGCTGAAGGTTCGAGTTGCCAAACGTCAGCCTCGAAACCTTAATGACTTGGAGAAGATCTGCAAAGAGGAGTGGGACAAAATCCCTCCTGAGATGTGTGCAAACCTGGTGGCCAACTACAAGAAACGTCTGACCTCTGTGATTGCCAACAAGGGTTTTGCCGCCAAGTACTAAGTCATGTTTTGCAGAGGGGTCAAATACTTATTTCCGTCATTAAAATGCAAATCAATTAATAACATTTTTGACATGCGTTTTTCTGGATTATTTTGTTGTTATTCTGTCTCTCACTGTTCAAATAAACCTACCATTAAAATTATAGACTGATTATGTCTTTGTCAGTGGGCAAACGTACAAAATCAGCAGGGGATCAAATACTTTTTTCCCTCACTGTATGAAGCAGCATGAAGCAGTGGACAGTGGACGAGACTAACCTTTATACCTAACACCATGTATTGTATTCTACAGGGTAAAGAACAAGAGTCTGACATGGAGAGTGAAGAACTCATAACAAAATTGTAGAAAAAACATATGTATATATTTGGCTTTGGCTGTCAAAGAAAGCTTATATTGGAAATATATATTTGGTTACATAGTGCCCCTTCACATGCTGCTTGTTGTGGGGTTAACGAGACCATTTTATCAATAGTAGTTTTCACAACTTCTTTGAACTACACATTTAGGCCATGGACTGGATAAACTTCTTTATTCTGCTATATTCAACTTGGGTTTATTGTAGTTTAGGTGAAATAATAACAAACCAAGCACAAATTGTTACAGCGCCTTCAGAAAGTATTCACACCCCTTGACTTTTTCCACATTTCGTTGCGTTACTGCCGGAATTGAGATTTGTTGTCACTGGCCTGCACACAATACCCCATAATGTCGAAGTGGAATTATGTTTTTTGAAATTTTTACACATTTATAAAACATTTTAAGCATACATTTCTTGAGTCAATAAGTATTCAACCCCTCTGTTATGGCAAGCCTAAATATACTGAACAAAAATATAAATGCAACAATTTCAAAGATTTTTATAAGTTAGAGTTCATATAAGGAAATCAGTCAATTGAAATGAATTCATTTGGCCCTAATCTATGGATTTCACGACTTGGAATACAGATATGCCATCTGTTGGTCACAGATACCTTAAAAAAAAGGTATTATCGTGGATCAGAAAACCAGTCAGTATCTGGTGTGACCACCATTTGCCTCATGCAGCACGACACATCTCCTTCGGATAGAGTTGATCAGGCTGTTTGTTGTGGCCTGTGGAATGTTGTCCCACTCCTCTTCAACGGCTGTGCGAAGTTGCTGGATATTGGCGGGAACTGGAACACGCTGTTGTATACGTCGATCCAGAGCATCCCAAACATGCTCAATGGTGAGTATGTAGGCCATGGAAGAATCTTAAGCTTCCAGGAATTTTGTACAGATCCTTGCAACATGGGGGCGTGCATTATCATGCTGAAACATGAGGTGATGGCGGCGGATGAATGGGACGACAATGGCCCTCAGAATCTCGTCACGGTATCTCTGCATTCAAATTGACATCGATAAAATGCAATTGTGTTCGTTGTCCGTAGCTTATGCCTGCCCATACCATAACCCCACTGTCACCATGTGTGTTCACTAAGTTGACATAAGCAAACCGCTCGCCCACACGACGCAATACACATGGTTTGCGATTGTGAGGCCGGTTGGACGTACTGCCAAATTCTCTAAAATGACGTTGGAAGCAGCTTATGGTAAAGTATAAACATGTAATTATCTGGCAACAGCTCTGGTGGACATTCCTGCAGTCAGCATGCCAATTGCACTCTCCCTCAAAACTTGAGACATCTGTGGCATTGTTGTTGTGTGACAAAACTGCACATTTTAGAGTGGCCTTTTATTGTCCCCAGCACAAGGTGCACCTGTGTAATGATCATGCTGTTTAATCAGCTTCTCGATATGCCACACCTGTCAGGTGGATGGATTATCTTGGCAAAGGTAGAAATGCTCACTAACAGGGATGTAAAGTAATTTGTGCAAATAATGTTAGAGAAATAAGCTTTCTGTGTGTATGGAAAATGTCTGTTATATTTTATTTCAGCTCATGAAACATGGGACACTTTTTATATGTTGCGTTTATATTTTTATTCAGTGTAAATTCAGGAGTACAAATGTAGTTAAGTCACATAAGTTGCATGGACTCACTCTGTGTGCAATAAGTGTTTAACATGATTTTTGAATGACTACCTCATCTCTGTACCCCACACATACAATTATCTGTAAGGCCTCTCAGTCAAGCAGTGAATTTCAAACACAGATTCAACCACGAAGACCAGGGAGGTTTTCCAATGCCTCGCAAAAGGGAACCTATATGTATAAAAATGTAAAAAGCAGACATATCCTTTTGAGCATGGTGAAGTTAATTACACTTTGGATGGTGTATCAATACACCGTCACTACAAAGATACAGGCGTCCTTCATAACTCAGTTGCCGGAGATGAAGGAAACTGCTCAGGGATTTTACCATGAGGCCAATGGTGACTTTAAAATAGTTTGAGTTTAATGGCTGTGATAAACTGAGGATGGAGCAACAACATTGTAGTTACTCACAATACTAATCTAACTGGAAGAGTGAAAAGAAGGAAGCCTGTAGAGAATACAAATATTCCAAAACATGCATAATTTTTGCAACAAGGCACTAAAGTAATACTGCAAAAAATGTGGCAAAGAAATTAACTTTTTGTTTTGACTAGAAAGTGTTATGTTTGGGGCTAATCCAATACAACACTGGGTATACTTGTAATCGTTAAGGACAAGATAGAAAAAGAAACGGAATGGAGCTAAGCACAGGCAAAATCCTAGAGGAAACCTGGTTGTCTGCTTTCCACCAGACACTGAGATTAATTTACCTTTCAGCAGGACAATAACCTAAAACCCAAGGCCAAATCTACACTGGAGTTGCTTACCAAGACAGTGAATGTTCCTGAGTGGCCGAAGTAGTTTACTTAAATCTGCTTGAAAATGTATGGCAAGACCTGAAAATGGTTGCCTAGCAATGATCATCAACCAATTTGACAGAGCTCGAAGAATTTAGAAAATAAAATGGGCAAATGTTGGACAATCCAGGTGTGGAAAGATCTAGAGACCTCCCAGAAAGACTCACAGCTGGAATCGCTGCCAAAGGTGATTCTAACATATCTAACCAAGAGAGTTTTTTTTTTTTTTTTTTGAACTGTTAGAATTTTTCTTCCACTTTGACAGAGTATTTTGTGTAGATTGTTGACGAAAAAATCTATTGTAATAACAAAATGTGGAAAAAGTAATGGGGTGTGAATACTTTCTGAAGGCACAAATTCTTTGAAACTGTATGACATTTCTTAGAAATAAAATGTATGACAAACCAAGAAACATGTTTTTTTCAATCTTCTTATTTATTGGATGTTACCGAATAGAGATACAGTTTGTGTAAAAGCTGCATAACATTGTGCTCCAATTCTCATTCATGGTTACATTTCCAAGACGAAAGATACAAAGTAATCATAACAATACACAATCTAGTATTCCACAAAATACAAACAGGATTTTTAGCATACAATATATTGCAAGATTTTCAACATGTTCCAAAATATGCATGAGGGGACAACATTAATACTTTGGCCTCTTTGGCTTCTCCCTGAAATAAAAAGGAATAAAATGAATATAGAGCAGTGTGAATTTAACATACATTTACCATCATAATTGACAATCTGCCATTTATGTTTGAGAATATTTCAGGCAGCATCTTGCATGATGCAGTATTTCTGGAGTGGGGAGATGAGGCAGTTGTACTTGAGATGTTTTCCTCCTTTCTGAGTGTGAGCAGAATGTAGATCACCACTGTACAGCACAGTGAGCAGCTCTGACAGTCTGTCAGATACCACCGCCATCTTCCCATCATATCCTGTCTGCTCTCAGTCCTCTCCCACTACCATCCTACTGTCTGTCTGCTCTCAGTCCTCTCCCACTACCATCCTACTTCTGTCTGCGCTCCAGTCCTCTCCCACTACCATCTACTGTCTGTCTGCTCTCAGTCCTCTCCCACTACCACCCTACTGTCTGTCTGCTCATCAGTCCTCTCCCACTACCATCTATCTGTCTGTCTGCTCTCAGTCCTCTCCCACTACCATCCTTACGTCTGTCTGTCTCAGTCTCTCCATTACATTACTGTCTGTTGTCAGCCTCTACCATACCATCTACTGTCGTCTGGCTCAGTCCTCCATACATTTGTTGCCTCAGTCTCCCCTACCATCTATGTGTTGCTCCATCCTCCCACTACATCCTATGTCTGTTGCTTCGGGTCCTCTCCCATACCATGTCTGTTGCTCAGTCTTCCACTACCATCTACTGTCTGTCTGCTCTCAGTCCTCTCCCACTACCATCCTACTGTCTGTCTGCTCTCAGTCCTCTCCCACTACCATCCTACTGTCTGTCTGCTCTCAGTCCTCTCCCACTACCATCCTACTGTCTGTCTGCTCTCAGTCCTCTCCCACTACCATCCTACTGTCTGTCTGCTCTCAGTCCTCTCCCACTACCATCCTACTGTCTGTCTGCGCTCAGTCCTCTCCCACTACCATCCTACTGTCTGTCTGCTCTCAGTCCTCTCCCACTACCATCCTACTGTCTGTCTGCTCTCAGTCCTCTCCCACTACCATCCTACTGTCTGTCTGCTCTCAGTCCTCTCCCACTACCATCCTACTGTCTGTCTGCGCTCAGTCCTCTCCCACTACCATCCTACTGTCTGTCTGCTCTCAGTCCTCTCCCACTACCATCCTACTGTCTGTCTGCTCTCAGTCCTCTCCCACTACCATCCTACTGTCTGTCTGCCTCAGTCCTCTCCCACTACCATCCTACTGTCTGTCTGCGCTCAGTCCTCTCCACTACCATCCTACTACTGTCTGCGCTCAGTCCTCTCCCACTACCATCCTACTGTCTGTCTGCTCTCAGTCCTCTCCCACTACCATCCTACTCTGTCTGCGCTCAGTCATGTACACTAACTGTAGGATGTAAGATGAAAACCAGACTGAAGGAAATGTACTCACCCATCTGCCTCAGCCTTCTTCCTCTTCTCGATGATCTGTGAGGGAAAAAGCACATCATTAATAAGACAACCTTTCCTGGTTTATATCTCAGTACACTCTGATAACACGGTCATAACCCTGCTAACAGAGCCATTAAACCGCCCACTCACAACCCTGCTAACGGAGCCATTAAACCGCCCACTCACAACCCTGCTAACAGAGCCATTAAACCGCCCACTCACAACCCTGCTAACGGAGCCATTAAACCGCCCACTCACAACCCTGCTAACAGAGCCATTAAACCGCCCACTCACAACCCTGCTAACAGAGCCATTAAACCGCCCACTCACAACCCTGCTAACAGAGCCATTAAACCGCCCACTCACAACCCTGCTAACAGAGCCATTAAAACCGCCCAACCTTCACAACCTCAAGAGCCATTTAAACCGCCAATCAACCCTGCTAACAGAGCCATTAAACCGCCCACTCACAACCCTGCTAACAGAGCCATTTAACTGCCCACTCACAACCCTGCTAACAGAGCCATTAAACCGCCCCCACTCACAACCCTGCTAACAGAGCCATAAACCGCCCACTCACAACCATGCTAACGGAGCCATTAAACCGCCCACTCACAACCCTGCTAACAGAGCCATTAAACCGCCCACTCACAACCCTGCTAACAGAGCCATTTAACTGCCCACTCACAACCCTGCTAACAGAGCCATTAAACCGCCCACTCACAACCCTGTTAAGGGAGCCATTAAACCGCCCACTTACAGCACTGATCTTCTTCCACTGCCTGTCCAGCTCTGCCTTCTCATTGGTCTCCTTGAAGCGGCGAGTCTTCCTCCCCTCAGACATCTTGATGCCATACTGGAAAGCAGCCCTGAGGGGACGAACACAGTTTGTCTGCAATGAATATTAAATGACTTGGCCTGATTAAAAACATTTCATAGAAATGGCAAGGAATCCAATGATGTTTCTATCACTGTGTGCTGTAATGAACGCATGAAACAAAGGATTCCAGGTTCATTGTTGAGACAAGCTTTAAGATGACATACTTTGGCAGAGCCTCCTTGTTGTTCATGTATTCACTGTATTCATCCTGAGTGTCAAAGTCCCAGCGACCCAGAGGACCCTTCTTGTTACCCTATAGAGGACAGACAGCCAAAACAGAGGTCAAAAGCATGTCAACCACACCGCAACATATCACACAACCCACTGTCACATGACTAGAAACACATGATGGCTGACAATGAACCCAAAGGTCTATCTAGGAGGGGACTACGGTTTCAAAGATGAAGCACCAACCTGGTCCATCTTGGTGTAGTCCACCTCTTCATCACTGTCCACAGCCAGGTCGTCCATACTGAGAACAGAGAGAGAACACCCAAATCATACAGGTACACCCACTACATCAAATGACCTGGTATAAAGCCCAGTGTCCACCCTGCTTCAGTACAGTGATGTGACATGGATGAATCAGGGGACTCACGTGGCTGGGTAGCACTCAGCATAGCTGTTGGACATGCCAAAGAAGTCCCCGAGCTTCTCCTCTTTACGGCCACGCGACCCAGCAGTAGCTCGCAGTTAAGGAGACCAGCGGACCAACCAGGCCACAACACATCCACCACCAGCACACACAACTGGACTGGTGTTACCACAGACAGAAGGAGCCAGATGTCTCACAGGATGTATAATACATCTATCCAGTCTAAATACTGGGAATGAAGACATAGTTCCCCTCTATCCAGTCTAAATACTGGGAATGAAGACATAGTTCCCCTCTATCCAGTCTAAATACTGGGAATGAAGACATAGTTCCCCTCTATCCAGTCTAAATACTGGGAATGAAGACATAGTTCCCCTCTGTCCAGTCTAAATACTGGGAATGAAGACATAGTTCCCTCTATCCAGTCTAAATACTGGGAATGAAGACATAGTTCCCTATCCAGTCTAAATACTGGGAATGAAAACATGTTGCCCCTCTATCCATCAAAACTGGAATGAAGGCATAGTTCCCCTCATCCCGCTAAATGGGAATGAAGACTGTTCCTCTGTCCAGTCAAATCTGGGAATGAGACTAGTCCTTATCAGTCTAAATACTGGATGAGACTAGTTCCTCGTCCAGTTAAATATGGATGAAGACTAGTCCCCTTATCCAGTTTAATACTGGGAATGAGGACAATAGTCCCCCTATCCATTTAAAACTGGGAATGAGAATAGTTCCTTATCCAGCTAAATATGGATGAAGACATAGTTCCCTTATCCAGTCTAAATCTGAATGAAGACATAGTTCCCCTCTAAATTCCCCTCTATCCAGTCTAAATACGGGAATGAAGACATAGTTCCCCTCTGTCCAGTCTAAATACTGGGAATGAAGACATAGTTCCCCTCTATCCAGTCTAAATACTGGGAATGAAGACATAGTTCCCCTCTGTCCAGTCTAAATACTAGGAATGAAGACATTGTTGTCAAGTCCAGCCTTGTAAGCCAAGAGAATGTGGCTCTCTGGCCCAAACAGTGAAAAGGATATGTTTCTCCTGGCCACTGGGGAGTTGTTGATCCTGCAAACTTGTCATTGATCAGCTTGATCTGGTCCTTCACTGATCCTGGACCTGTACGGTCCGAAGAGGATAGACAGGCCAGAGGTCAGAATGTGTAATAGGGTTGAATGGGGATCAATAATACATTTTAAAAGAGCATGGTAATTGTATGCTATGGTTGATGAATTACCTGTCTCAATCTCCATGGTCTCATCGTCATCTGCTCTGGGCTTCTCAAAGTAACTGTGGCGTGTCCTTTCTTCCTCCCTCTCTCTGTCCCGCTCCCTCTCTCTGTCCCGCTCCCTCTCTCTGTCCCGCTCCTTCTCCCGGTAGCGTTCCTTCTCCTTGTCCCGGATGGCCTTGGAGGTAGATGGGGCGTAGTCTCCGATGTCATCAAAGATACTGTTAGGATGGAGAAGGGAATGGTTTGAGTTCGATAGGAACAATGGGGCGGCGCACAATTGGCCCAGCGTCGTCCAGGGTAGGGGAGGGAATGGCCAGCAGGGATGTAGCTTAGTTGGTAGAGCATGGCGTTTGCAACGCCAGGGTTGTGGGTTCGATTCCCACGGGGGGCCAGTATGGAAGAAAAAATAAATAAATAAACAAATAAAAAAATGTATGCACTAACTGTAAGTCGCTCTGGATAAGAGCGTCTGCTAAATGACTAAAATGTAAATGTAAAACAACAGATCTTCAAAAGAAACAGAAAATGATTAAATGAAAACAGCCTTTATGAGAGCCACCACACTGACCTTACGTCTGCCTCTGGTCCTGGAGCTTTCTTCTCATCTATTTTCACCCCTGTAAGAAGAAACCACGGGAAATAATTTCATTGTGAACTGTATATAAGCAACCAGATGTCATGAAAAAAGGTGCAGGCATCAGTATCCAGTGGTGAACCAATAAAAGTCATTAAGACCAACCTCCTTTTTCCTTCTTCTTCATCTTCTTGTTGCGGGTCCCTTGTCGCAGGTAGGACAGGATCTGGGTTAGCTTGCTGATGACGATGTCGTTGGTGGTGAGAGTTGTCTGAGCCTGAAAAGAGAGAAGTTACACATACCTCTACATAAACCATGGACTGTAATATATATTCTATGATACGGTCATAACAAAGGTCATAGTTCATGCTATTGTGGTCTGCAGTGCAGTCTGACCTCCATGGTGGGGCAGTCAGCCTTGCTGCGGATCAGTGTGGTGGGGATGTCGGTGTCTGCGTACTCATCCTCCAGGTCCACTACGTATGCCATACGGCCGGGCAGGAACAGCTCATTCCTCTCAAACTGACGGCCCTTAAACATGATCCGGTAGATGTTCCTTCCTGGGGGTGGAGCAGAGAGACTGTCAACACCACCAACCAGCTGGAGTGATTTACCTCTACATGGGCCCAAATTCCAGTAGACAACTATTACTCACCTAGACGTGTCTTGAACTCTATTTTCTCCTCTGGTTCAATCTCTTTCCTGGAGGAAAGAATACAGGTTACTGTCTCTGGAATGAGGACACTGGCGAGCTCGTTCAGAAAAGGAATAAGTGTTTTATGCTAAAAGAAAAGAGGGGGAAGAAATACTGATATACATACTTGACTTCCTTTGTTACTTTTTCAATCATATCCTCCTCCTCCTTCTCCTTACTGGTGATCTCAGCACGCACCTGCAAGTAGACAAGCATGATATCCATGTTAACTATTTATTGTAGGTCGACACAATCCCTACTCTGCTGCAGTTGTTCCATTATATGGCACAGCAGAGGACGTTTTCTTCACCTCTGGGTGTGCACAGCAGGAGTGATAGAACAGGGTGACCTACTTGGTATTTTCACTCTTTCAGCGAGGGAGGAGGGAGCAATGACAGTGTGTCCCATTGGAACAGCCAAGAAATTAGCATCCCTTAGCTTCAGCATACGTCAAACCTGATGTCTTCTACAATATACAGTGAGGGAAAAAAGTATTTGATCCCCTGCTGATTTTGTACGTTTGCCCACTGACAAAGACATGATCAGTCTATAATTTTAATGGTAGGTTTATTTGAACAGTGAGAGAATAACAACAACAAAAAAACTATAGACTGATTATTTCTTTGTCAGTGGGCAAACATACAAAATCAGCAGGGGATCAAATAGTTTTTTCCCCTCACTGTAGATGGCATTCTATAGCTACTACATGGCTGTATTACTGATAGTCTGAGCTCAAGCATCTTCTGATTCCTTCATTTCAGGTTCAAATGCTATTCTTTTTTTCTTCATTTTTTCTAAAACCTGACTCAAGTTTTATTGACAGATCCAGGTTAGACATGTAGATAGGAAGAGGGATAAAGCTCAGGAAGTGAGTGGCGGACGAGGGAATCAAACCACTGCCCTTACAGGCATATTGGTCCGGGGGCAGCAGAACTACCACTAGACCAGCCCCCGGAACTTGAAACGCTATTCTAATGGCAAAGACAAAGAATCTGGGCGGGCAGCTTCTGTATATTAATGAACTTAGCATCATGAAAAAGGACAGTAGACGGACCTTCTGCAACAGGGCAAAATCCAACCCTTTCACCAAGTGAGTGTGCTCCATGTCACCACCCAAGAACTTAGACTCTTGGATCATCTGCCGCCTCTTCTCAGCTGCCGAATTATCCCTGTCGACACAACAATACATCACCATGGACATCCATACAGAACACGTCGATACACCACCACAAAGGGTAGGGAGTAGACAGTAGCATTATGGTCACATGGTGGTCTGACTGGGGAAACTCACGCCTCTGCTGTGGGCCCCACTGCTCTATAATTGGCTGTTGTGCTGATGAGCTCTGTCTCCTCGTAGTCCTTGTTGACGCCATCACGACGCTCCCGGGCACGGTCACGGTACTTCTCAGCTAGCTCCCGCTCCCTCTCCACTTCCTGCTGACGCAGCTTGGCGTAATAACTGATAGGGGTAGCAGAGGGCAAAGGTCAGTGGGTGACAGCTGAGAGACCTCAGGTAATATGACAACAAACATTCAGTTTAATCAAATTATAAGAGAAACAGTTATTCTAGACTGCCACCCTTAATGAAAGCACCACCTTTTCTTCTTCCGTCTACGGGCTGCAGGATCATCCTCTTCGCTGTAGTCCCGGGGCATCCTGTAAAAAAGCTCATTCAGTTCTGTATGTGTTGATTCAAGACTGTTTGTAATTGGATTTTTAACTATACCCAAATCATCTATTCATGATCCAATGGACTACTCTATGGCACTGTAAATCCATCACTCACTCATGATGTCTGGAGGATTTGGAGGATGGGGGAGCTGATGAGGGCGTGGCACGAGGGGTCATCAAAAGTTTACGGAAGTCCTCATTTGTCAGCTTGGACCTGAAGAGGAAAAAATGCAGAGGTTAAGCCACACAGTATGTGTAGTCTAAAGTAGTCTTGGAAGACTTTCAGACCATTCATACTCGTTCAAAATGTACGATGAAACAATCGAAACATATCTCAGACATATTCAATAGGTGTCATCACACTGGGTCCTCTGTTCTCATGATCCAAAAGCTGATGTGGTGAACAAATGTGTTGTTATGCAAATATTGTAAACGGCAACAAAAGCCTCACTTACTGAAGTGCTGACCGGTGGTCCTCCACCTCGTGGCCATCCGGAGCCAGAGGGTTGGAGAACGACTCGGCTGTAAAAGAAAGAAAGACGACGTTAACGTTACTACCTGTGGACGCCATCTTTCCGGTGAGAACTGGCAACTGTGTCAATTGGTGCGCGCTTCACTTCGACTGCATCGAATGACTAGTTAATATGACTTGCTACTAAATAATTAATACGTGGTTGACGCCACTGCAGTAAAACACCAATTAGCTAAGAGTTCATAAATGGCTACCGAAATAGATACATTGAGCAGATAGGAGGTAATTGAGAGAGGTTACTTTTTCTTTGCAAGATGGGCAAACAGTGGCTACTCAGACATTAGGCTATTTAACAGTAGCTAACTACCTAGCATAGCTTGCTAGCTAACAAACACCCTATCTAGTTAGCTAGCTAAGGTTGTCTTTTGAGCCAGGAAATATTAATCCATATAACTATATACAGTTAACATTGATAATGCAACGTCTAAACGTAATATTCAGTAACGTTAGCTGCACAGACAAATGGGGAAAGTTATCAGTAGTAGCTAGCTATCTTTGTTAGTTGACTAGCTAACTGGCTAACGTTAGCTAGTTGACGTTAGCACACACAATGCCAAATAAATTAAACTTACTCTCTCGTTCTCCTCGTTCTCGTTCCGGCATGTTGAAATAAGTTGGTCTCACTCTCAAGTAAAACAACGACTTTGTGATCAACTATTACTATATGTATAATCCTAGCTATGTTGTTTATGGTGATGTGTGCTGCTGTGAAAACGGAAATGACAGTCAACATTCGGTTGGTATGGTCTAGATTTTCGTCGCGGCGCAAACGTTACGTCAACCTTAAACGTGGAATGTAATTGGGTGAATTCTCGAATGTGATTTGTTGATATGGAGAGTGGGCGGGTTCAGGAACATTCATCTAACGCTGATGAACCACCATGGCCGCTGCTGTAGTAAGAGGTATTGGCTCAAACCTTGCTAAAAACCTTCGAGAGATTCGTCTACATTTGTGCCAGACATCGCCTGCGAGTCAAGGAGCAAGGTAATTTTTAAAATGTGACGTACGTCATATTTTCATGAAATCGAAATGTGCTAACCAATGCTAGCATTATCCTCATAGCTAGCAACTTCGTCTTCGCTAGCGTAGCGGTCACAAAGCTGTCCTCATAGCTAACACAATCTACTTCCAGACGCCTACTGGAAACACACTGCTCTCTCGCCAAGGCTGTCGGTTTTGACTAGCAGAAGTGACTTTTCGTAGCAGGTTAGGATAATTAAATAATGTTAGGAAAAGCGTTTTATTAGATAAAATGCTAAAGTTGGAAGTACAGTATCTAGTTACAACCAGTTTTGCCCTGAAAACAGTCTTTGTTTCCACTAATTCGATTCTGCCTGCCAGACAGGCTACATGTAAACAAACAGTAGTTAGCTAACAACCGCAATTTAAGATGGAATAAACAAAGCTGAAATAATTTGTAGATCACGCATAGTTATTTAACTACAGCTCTACAACATCGTTTCTATGATTTATCTTATTATTCAACATTTTACTAATAAGATAAATAGTAAACCCTTGTTTATTAGCTAGCTATTTCAGTGTTATGAAATAGTATAGTAAAATAGGAAAACATATTGTGAAAGTTATTTCACTTGATTCTTTATATTCCATGTTCTCCAGGGATTTTGTGGAACAGCACTATGTGGAACTGAAGAAGGCAAACCCCACATTCCCCATCCTCATCAGGGAGTGCTCAGGTGTTCAGCCTAAGCTTTGGGCAAGATCTGGTGAGAGCATTGTTTCAGTAGCTAGGTGACTCACACACTGTCACCGCTGTATGTCAAATGCAATGTTTATGGCCATGCATTCATTTGGTTCTTTCATGTACCTGTATTGCAGATTTTGGCAAGGAGAGCAGTGTGGCCCTTGACAACATGAATGCTGACCAAGTGGCTAAGGCGCTGGAGACAGTTGTGAAACCATAAGCATGACCAACTATGCTCCCCTGACGACACCTTTCCAACCGTGAGATGGAGTGTCGATTGTAAATGACATATGTATCACATAAATCTCTATTGCTGTTCTAATAAATCTGAGTACTAAATTGTGACATGCTGCTGCATTGATGTGTTCGTAGTTTGTGTTCATATGAACTACTTTCCATTTCATAGGCATGTGAAGCTAGTAGAAGTGCAGATATTGGTAAGTCAATTTTGTGAAGAAAAAAAAAAGGTCAAACTCACAGAAGGTTAGCACTGTTCAATGTACCCAATCATGGTCTGTCTGAGAGAATTGACCAGCCTATCAGCATTGGACTGAAAGGTTCATACACAAGTGGCTGACAACAATATCATTTTATATTTCATGCTATAGAAATTCACACTTTCATAATAAGCTTTTATGAATAAAGAAACCAGATTGAGATCATTTTTATTTAACTATGAACAATCAGAAATGACAAACGGAAGAAAAGTTCACATTGTTTTCACAAGAATGTGACAGAAATACTGGTTTGTAAACATTGAATTCAGCAAATTCTCTGACCAGTCAGTCAGATCATCTATCCTCCTCCGGTCCCCCAGAACCTTCCTCTGCATAGGTGTATGGGTCTAAAATAAGTGCTAAAACACAAGGCTGTGGGCTCAGCAATAGGATTTGTGAGGTGCATAGTACAGTATTTGGAGTGACATTAGCTACAAGTGTTCCCCATATGAGTCCTAAGAATCCCTTACCTTCCACAGAAAATTATGTGGAAGTGTTCACAGCTTAAAGAACAGAAAATAAAACCCACAACATGCAAAGGTACTACACCCTACAACATTATCTAGACAGCCACGCTAGACCAAGCATATATTTATACCTAACGATAACGATTGTTTTATCATTAGCAAAGACTTGGCAAATACACAGAAGATGGGTTTACAAGCCATCAGGCTATGCAAATGTGTTACTGTGCCCTTACTGTACCCAGTTTATTCAACACTTGAAATAGGATGGTATGAGTATTTTGCCTTTTTCATGTCAATACATGCCTGGTTTAGCAAGCTTATAGAATATGGTTAAAAGGTAGATTTTGTTGTTAGTAACACAATACAGATGTTCCCTAAAATACATGTGTAGAACCTTAAGTACATGTACAGGCCAGAACTCCAGTTTCCCCTTTTGGTTGAAACCTCAGGCACCAGTGTGATCGAGGTGGTCCTTTGATTCAGACGTCAGCAGCTCCACTCCATTCCCTGGATATGATGTCCACCATCTCCTGCAAAGAAACATATTAGCTTTGAGAAATGATTTATGTAACTCATTTTGGGCTTTGGGAAAATGACAATATATGATGTATATGTACCTGAAATTTCACCATTGGACTATTTATTTTTGGAGGACTTCTTTTTCTTTAAAAAAAAAAGAAATATCAGTGCTATTATAACTATCTTATGCATCCAAATAACACTATTTGCATAATTCATCATTTTCTATTGATATGCACCTATGCCCCAGATTGCAAGTATTTCTGTCCCATACCTTAGTCACTTCTGTGTTAGGCACAGGTCCTGTTGATGCTTTTACAGGTGTTTTCAATGCATTTGTAATTTTCTCCTTTTTCTCTGTCAGCTTGTTTTTCTCTGTAGAACCCAATCATAATGGAAACACACAAAAAATTAACTTAATACTTAGAGAAGCAACCTTGCTTATTTGTAACACAGTGCACTTACTCTTTCTGTTTTTTGTTGTCTCTGGTGTAAGGCTCGGTTCAGGAGTTGAGATTTCAGAGTCTTTCACAGTGTTTTCAGCTTTAGCAGCCTCCTTCTTCTTCTCCTTCTTCTTCTTCTTCTTCTTCTTTTCAATGACTGGAGTTGTATTTTCCTTCACAGCACTCCCTTTCTCTGTGACTTTCTTTTTCTTATTTTTGGGAGTCTTTAACTCTTCCGGCTCAGGGGTAGGGGGAAGAGGCCTCTTAGCAGCTGTGGTCTTTGGAGTTTCCTTAGCCTGGCTGTTAGCTGCTGGTGTCAGGGTGGCTGCTGTATTTTTCATGCTCTTTTTTGCCATTTTGTTTTTGGGGGGGGCGTCGGTCTCTTCTTCCGGTGACTCCCTCATGACCTTCGTCCCCCTTTTCTTCGCCCTCTTTCTTTTCTTTTTCTTGAGGGACTTTGCTGACAGAACAAGAGTGGTGGAGCCAGACTCTGTAGCTGGGTTGGCGTCCACCTTGGAATCATCTGTAAAATGGAGATAATCAATGTAACAGAAATGTTGACTATAGATGAGGGTTACAGGAGTAATGACGGTTACATTCCGTTATTTAGCAGGTAATAAAAGGCAACCCCTAGTCCTACCCTTTGCCTAGCAGTGGCTAAGGGATGTTTCTGGTCCAGGTCTAAGGATCATTAGCTTTCTCTTGTGCCTCTCTTTCTCTCAGGGCTCTCCAACCCTGTTCCTGGAGATCTACCCTCCTGTAGGTTTTTGCTCCAACCCCATTTGTAACTAACCTGATTCAGCTTATCAACCAGCTAATTATTAGAATCAGATGTGCTACATTAGGGTTATAGTTAAAACCTACAGTACAGTAGCTCTCCAGGAACAGGGTTGGAGTTAAAACCTACAGGAGGGTAGCTCTCCAGGAACAGGGTTGGAGTTAAAACCTACAGGACGGTAGCTCTCCAGGAACAGGTTGGAGTTAAAACCTACAGGAGGGTAGCTCTCCAGGAACAGGGTTGGAGTTAAAACCTACAGGAGGGTAGCTCTTCAGGAACAAGGTTTGAGAGCTCTGGATAGTGTACCTGATGGAGTCAGCTCCAACCACTTGGTGTCTAGACTGGACTCGTCACCATCCTCCTTTACTGCAGGTTGCCCATTCTCCTCAACCTCTCCTTTCTTCTTCTTCTTCTTCTTCTTGGGAGTTATGTCGGTTGTCTCTTTACTCCTCTTCCTCTTTGATCCAGGTGTTGCGGTATCATTGGTTGGCTCCTCTGTGGGTGGTTCCTCTGTCTCTGTGGGGGTCGTCTCAACAACTGTCTCAATGGTCACTTTTTCAGGCTACATGGTGATGGAAATAGAGCAGCAACAACAATAGAATATTGTTTAGATCAAAAACAAAACCTTCAATCAAAGCATTTTGTTCACTTTAATTTATCATTTCATATCAGCGGTGCACAGGGTGTCTCACAGACAGACACACACTGTTACATCATTTATACCTTTACTTACCTCCAAGTCTTCAGATGCTGAATTGGGGATAATTGTGTCAACACACTCCTTTGATTCCTCTTCTACAGCAGTTCCGATCTCGGCAGCTAAAGATACATGTCATAAGACTGGTAATTTACTTGTTGTTCTCCCTCTTCCAGTTATGGTAAGTAATATCTATATTTTCTATCCCAAACTTTCTGAACTGTGTTTCTACTGTCCTCTCTCTCTGCGAACACTCATTTTTACTTAGCTTATGTTCCTGTCATTTGTTAAGCTAGATACTGTATTATGATGTGTGGTCTGTACCTTTTCTAGCTATAAACTGATCCAGGTTGTCAGTGGAGTCCACGTATGGTTCTTCTAGACCAGGTGGGGAGGAATGGCTGGTCTTACCAGTAGCAGGGGCTTCTGACGGGAGTTCAGGGGTGTCACTCTTGTCCTCTGATGTTGTAGAGGTCACTATCTGATCCTCTGTCTTGGGCTTCTCTGAAGCAGTGTCTGTCTTTAGGGTCTTCTGGGGACTCTCTGGGGCCTCCTCCTCCTTTGCACTCTCTGGCCCCGAGGCAGGGGGTGTGTCCACCTCAGGGACTGTAATGGAAAGGATGTGGTCATAGATAGCCACAGAACTAACCAAATGCAACTACACCAAGCAAAACGGACAACACCAGAAAACAGCACACGTCAGAGTGAGGTCTGGGCTGGTGTACCTTCAGGAGGAGATCCTTCAATATCGGTTGGATCCTCAGCTGCTGCTTCAGTTGTAGGTATGACTGGAACGGTTTCAACTTTCTGTGAAGGCATGAAGTGCAAATATTAATAGGGAACCCATATGATGTTGGTGGAAAAATGAACAATTAGCAGTCCAGAAAGAATGTCCATGACATCCCTACATCACCCGTACCGTACGTACCCCTGCTGGACTGTGTTCCATGACATCCCTACATCACCCGTACCGTATGTACCCCTGCTGGACTGTGTTCCATGACATCCCTACATCACCCGTACCGTACGTACCCCTGCTGGACTGTGTTCCATGACATCCCTACATCACCCGTACCGTACGTACCCTGCTGGACTGTGTTCCATGTCATCCCTACATCACCCGTACCGTACGTACCTCTGCTGGACTGTGTTCCATGACATCCCTACATCACCCGTACCGTACGTACCCCTGCTGGACTGTGTTCCATGTCATCCCTACATCACCGTACCGTATGTACCCCTGCTGGACTGTGTTCCATGACATCCCTACATCACCCGTACCGTACGTACCCCTGCTGGACTGTGTTCCATGTCATCCCTACATCACCCGTACCGTATGTACCCCTGCTGGACTGTGTTCCATGACATCCCTACATCACCCGTACCGTACGTACCTCTGCTGGACTGTGTTCCATGACATCCCTACATCACCCATACCGTATGTACCCCTGCTGGACTGTGTTCCATGACATCCCTACATCACCCGTACCGTACGTACCTCTGCTGGACTGTGTTCCATGACATCCCTACATCACCCGTACCGTACGTACCCCTGCTGGACTGTGTTCCATGACATCCCTACATCACCCGTACCGTACGTACCCCTGCTGGACTGTGTTCCATGACATCCCTACATCACCCGTACCGTACGTACCTCTGCTGGACTGTGTTCCATGACATCCCTACATCACCCATACCGTATGTACCTCTGCTGGACTGTGTTCCATGACATCCCTACATCACCCGTACCGTACGTACCTCTGCTGGACTGTGTTCCATGACATCCCTACATCACCCATACCGTATGTACCTCTGCTGGACTGTGTTCCTCTGCACCTTCCTCCTTGCCAGCAGGAGGCGTGGCCTGGGTTTGAGTGACAGCTGTCTCTTCTGATGTAGGAGCCGCGGTGTCATCTTTCTCAGATGGTGTGGATTCCAGTTTCTGGTCACATACGTCAGATTCATAAGCACAGATAAACTACAAAGGTAAATATAATCTATGCAAGTTGACGTTTATATGCTAATAAATGCCATTGCCAAACATTTTCACTTTGATATGCACTGTAATTATCAGTTTAATTTGATGGGCTATGAGACTGACCGATGGTTTTTCTTCATCCTCACTGTCTGAGGAATCCTCCTGTACTGGAGTTGAAACTTGGGCTATGGAGGCAGCAATGACTTTCTGTAGAAACAAAAATCAAACAAACAGAATGTAGGTAAAACCACAGACACCAAAACATCACCAGATTTACAACAGATTAATAACATGTGACTTACTTGAGCTGGCTTGCCCTCATCAGTGTCAGACGTGTCACTGTCCGAGCTGTCGCCCTTCTTAGCTGCAGCAGGGGCCTTGGGTGTGGTTTTAGCCGGGCTGGGAGTGGGCTTGGCAGGGGCGTGCTTGGCTGGAGCCTCTTCCTCACTGTCTGAGCTGTCACTCTCCATCTTAGCAGCTGCTGCTGGGGCCTTAGGAGTGGCTTTGGCCTTGCTTGGGGTTGAGGTTGGGGTGGTTTTCTGCTTGGTAGTAGATTCAGGTTTAAGAAAGTTCTAGGATTATACACCAATTTATTATTCATCAGTATTATCACAGGATTAACACATGGATATATCAAATCATATTTTTCTGGCATAAGATACAGACCTTTATAGGAGCCTCCTCCTCACTGTCTGAGTCGGAGCTGTCGCTGTCAGAGCTCTGTGCTTTCTTTCCTGCAGCAGGAGTCTTGGGAGCAGCTTTAGCCTGACTGGGGGTGCCTACACTGGGCTTCACTGGGGCTGCTGGGCTCGGCTTGGCTGGTTTCACAGGAGCAGCTTTGGGTGTCAGTGCAGGTTTCTGAAACAAATAATTATATCAAGGTATTATATCAGGAATAAAACCAACTCAATATTAGTTTTTCTTAGTGACAAGGGGAACTGGTTTAATGACTACTTCTCATGTGTGACATACCTTGACAGTAACCTCCTCTTCAGTGTCTGAGTCGTCACTGTCTGAACTCTCTGCTGTAGGGGTGGCTGGAATCTTACTGGGAGCTGCCTTTATGACTTTAGCAGGAGTCTGAAACACAAATCCACACAGACCAGTGTCAATAAACAACATTAAAGTTGTACATTTTCGAGACATGATTCCACTGAAAAATGCTGTTTGCACATTCTAAATAGTGCAAGAGTATTCTTTAACCTGTGTGAGATGAATGTCATCCTCACTGCTGTCACTGTCTGAGCTCTCTGCTGGTTTTGAGGGAGTGATAGCTGGTTTGCTGGACTTCACTGGTTCTGGTGTTTTCACTGCTACAGCCTTAAGTGGAGCAGCTGCCCCCGGCTTGGTCTTAGGTGTCACTTTCTGAGGGGAGAGAGCAAATGCAGCGCTGGAGACTATCACAGCAGTAATGACTTCTGGTGTCTATGGTCTACTGCAGTTCCTATGTCATCATTGAGCTACAGTAGATAATGTTGTGCGTTGTACAGTAAATGGGACGGGTTGCAATCTATATAGTAGGATTATTTTACTAACCTTAGGAGCCTCCTCTTCACTGTCTGAGTCGGAGCTGTCGCTGTCAGAGCTCTGTGCTTTCTTTCCTGCAGCAGGAGTCTTGGGAGCAGCTTTAGCCTGACTGGGGGTGACTACACTGGGCTTCACTGGGGCTGCTGGGCTCGGCTTGGCTGGTTTCACAGGAGCAGCTTTCGGTGTCTGTGCTGATTTCTGAAACAAATAATTATATAAAGGCATTTTTATTAGTGACAAGGAGAAATGGTTTAATTACTATACTGAACAGAAATATGAACGCAACATGCAACAATTTCAAAGATTTTACTGACTTACACTTCATAGAAAGACATCCATCAATTAAAATAAATTAGGCCCTAATCTATGGATTTCACATGACTGGGCAGGGGCGCAGCCATGGGTGGGTCTTGGAGGGCATAGGCCCACCCACTTGGCAGCCAGGCCCAACCACTGGGGAGCCAGGTCCAGCCAATCAAAATGAGTTTTTCCCCACAAAAGGGCTTTATTACAGACAGAAATACTCCTCAGCACCGGATGTGGAGGTCCTGGGCTGGCGTGGTTACAAGTGTTCTGCGGTTTGTCAGTCCGGATGGACGTACAGCCAAATTCTCTAAAATGACGTTGGAGGCAGCTTATGGTAGAGAAATGAACATTAAATTATCTGGCAACAGCTCTGGTGGACATTCCTGCAGTCAGCATGCCAATTGCACGCTCCCTCAAAACTTGAGACATCTGTGGCATTGTGTTGTGTGACAAAACTGCACATTTTAAAGTGGCCTTTTATTGTCCCCAGCACAAGTTGCACCTGTGTAATGAGCATGCTGTTTAATCAGCTTCTTGATATGCCACACCTGTCAGGTGGATGGATTATCTTGACAAAGGAGAAATGCTCACTATCATATATAAACAAATTTGTGAACAAAATTTGAGAGAAATAAGCTTTTTGTGCGTATGGAACATTTAGAGGAATTATTTTTCAGCTCATGAAACATGGGACCAACACTTTACATGTTGCGTTTATATTTTTGTTCAGTGTATTTCTCAGGTTTGACTTACCTTTACAGTTAACTCATCGTCACTGTCTGAGTCGGAGCTGTCGCTGTCAGAGCTCTGTGCTTTCTTTCCTGCAGCAGGAGTCTTGGGAGCAGCTTTAGCCTGACTGGGGGTGACTACACTGGGCTTCACTGGGGCTGCTGGGCTCGGCTTGGCTGGTTTCACAGGAGCAGCTTTGGGTGTCAGTGCAGGTTTCTGAAACAAATAATTATATCAAGGTTGATATCAGGAATAAAACCAACTCAATATTAGTTTTTCTTAGTGACAAGGGGAACTGGTTTAATGACTACTTCTCATGTGTGACATACCTTGACAGTAACCTCCTCTTCAGTGTCTGAGTCGTCACTGTCTGAACTCTCTGCTGTACTGGGAGCTGTAGGGGTGGCTGGAGTCTTACTGGGAGCTGAGGCCTTACTGGGAGCTGTAGGGGTGGCTGGAATCTTACTGGGAGCTGAGGCCTTACTGGGAGCTGTAGGGGTGGCTGGAGTCTTACTGGGAGCTGCCTTTATGACTTTAGCAGGAGTCTGAAACACAAATCCACACAGACCAGTGTCAATAAACAACATTAAAGTTGTACATTTTCGAGACATGATTCCACTGAAAAATGCTGTTTGCACATTCTAATAGTCCAAGAGTATTCTTTAACCTGTGTGAGATGAATGTCATCCTCACTGCTGTCACTGTCTGAGCTCTCTGCTGGTTTTGAGGGAGTGATAGCTGGTTTGCTGGACTTCACTGGTTCTGGTGTTTTCACTGCTACAGCCTTAAGTGGAGCAGCTGCCCCCGGCTTGGTCTTAGGTGTCACTTTCTGAGGGGAGAGAGCAAATGCAGCGCTGGAGACTATCACAGCAGTAATGACTTCTGGTGTCTATGGTCTACTGCAGTTCCTATGTCATCATTGAGCTACAGTAGATAATGTTGTGCGTTGTACAGTAAATGGGACGGGTTGCAATCTATATAGTAGGATTATTTTACTAACCTTAGGAGCCTCCTCCTCACTGTCTGAGTCGGAGCTGTCGCTGTCAGAGCTCTGTGCTTTCTTTCCTGCAGCAGGAGTCTTGGGAGCAGCTTTAGCCTGACTGGGGGTGACTACACTGGGCTTCACTGGGGCTGCTGGGCTCGGCTTGGCTGGTTTCACAGGAGCAGCTTTGGGTGTCAGTGCAGGTTTCTGAAACAAATAATTATATCAAGCTCTTCAAGCAAAATAACTTGCTATAGGACAGGGTAGCATGATATTAGTCAGTTGTGACCTACCTTTACAGGAACCTCCTCCTCAGTGTCATCACTGTCACTTTCTGAGCTGTCTGTTGGTTTTTTAACAGGGGTGCATTTCACTGCGTCTGCCTTGACCAGAGTTGCAGCCACAGGCTTGGCTTTTTTGGGTGTTGCCACAGGGTTCTGGAACAGAGACAAATGAAGCATGGCATGAGAACCATGTTTCCTGGACGGTGTCACAGACAATCACTCGGAGCTGAGCGCCACTGTAGAGCTCGTCAGGCTAGAGCCAAGGGGATTGACCCTGTCCAAACAGAGTTACAGGACCATGGATCACTGCTTCAGCACAAAGACAGAGGAGCAGTACAGCCCTGACAAAAAAAAAACTGTCCACAGGGGAGTTAGCTGTGGATTTAGAGGACTATAATAATATATATGTCAATGTCTACACACATCATTACAGTGACTGGACGACAGATATGTTTGTCGGTGTATCTCTACTGTTTAAGTTGATTCATAAAAAATACAGTACAATGGGTCAAAGGAAGTTCAGGAAGTCACCGATCATTGTGGTCCGAGGTTTTTAAATTATATGATCGACCAGCTTGTATGTGATTGAATATATTTCAGACACAACCTTACATTTGTGTGAGAGCATACTGTAGCCAGGTATCATTAGGATTCACCTTTTTAGTAGGCTCCTCCTCACTGTCTGATTCGGAGCTGTCGCTGTCAGAGCTCTGTGCTTTCTTCCCTACAGCAGGAGTCTTGGGAGCAGCTTTAGATGTTAGTTTCTAAAAACACAGAGCAGAGAAGATGGAAAGACAAATGCATGGCAGTCAGGCGTTGTTGAATAACCATGGTATTACCTAAGAGTAAACATTACCAGTCCAATAATTTAGCTGAAATTAATTTCATTTCTACCGATTCAGGTGTGACATACCTTGACAGTGACCTCCTCTTCACTGTCTGAGTCGTCACTGTCTGAACTCTCTGCTTTACTGGGAGCTGTGGGGGTGGCTGGAATCTTACTGGGAGCTGTAGGGGTGGCTGGAGTCTTACTGGGAGCTGCGGCCTTACTGGGAGTGACAACAGTCTGAAACACACACAAACACTTTAAAAAATCTGAATTTCACTGATTGTAGTTATAACACAATTGTCGTAAGACCCCTCACCTGTGATGGAGGAATCTCATTCTCACTGTCTGATTGGCTGTCACCGTCTGCAGGTTTTGAGGGCGTGGTGGTAGGGACAGCTGAAGAGGCCTTTGGGGTGACAGTAGCTCCCTGGAAGAGAGGTAAGCATTCAGACACATGGGATACACAGTCAATTTCATATACTGTATATACCTCACTTATCAAGAAAGTCTTTGTCCTCCAAATGGAACAGCATGTTTCACCTGTGTGAAGGGAATCTCCTCTTCGCTCTCAGAGTCACTGTCTGAGCTCTCTGCTGGTTTTAAAGGGGTGACCGCTGGGACAGGCGCTGATGTTTCCACTGTCCCGTTACTGACTGGAGTAGATGACAACTTCTATAATGGAATCGGAATGTCAGTAGTCAGCAACTATATCAAATGGAGCTAAATCATGATAAATACTGTATAATATCTGTGTTATGATTGTATTAACTGTCCTGGAAAAATGTAACAATGTTCAATTTGCTAATCCAAACCAATTCAAGTTCCCAAAAGGATGTATTGTCTTGACATAAATCTCTACACCACATATATATATATATATATATAGCGCTGGTGCCAAGGCCCGACCCAAACCACAGCTCCTCCTCTATCTACCCACCTCATCCTGTGGGACCAGCTCCTCATTCTCTGGGGTTGCAGCCTGGGGTGTGTGAGGAGCTGGAGGTAGAGGATCTGAAAAACAGCAGAGTCATGAAGAAAGCTGATTTTACATGGTTGATCATGTGCAGCTATGAATGCCAGATGGGGCGGTACGTAGCCCAGCAGCTAAGGAGTTGGACCTGTAGCCGAAGGGTGGCCGGTTCGATTCCTGGGTCAGGGTGCTGGATAAAGGGGGGAATTTATCTGTCAACTGAAGGGCTGCTGGGTTCACATCCTAAAGACATTCCCCTACCGTTGGGCAGCTTGGCCCCTGTAGTTTGACCCTGTGCTTGTCTCAACTATGTGTGCCCTCTGAGAGGGGGGGGGGTTGAGAACAGAGCAGAAGACACATTTTCATTGTTCGCCGTAACATGGACAATAAAGTTTTATTGTATCAAGTCTATGTTATCTGTGGAACAGTTGAATGTTGTTTTTTGGTTGATTAAGGGTTTGTGAATTTGATACACTGTGAAAATTTAATTTCATGTAGGGCAGGAGGTTTGGTAGCCTACCAATTGGTTTTGAGTCCACATCTTCTTTGGTAGATGGATCGGCCTTAATCTTCTTCAGGGTGGTGGAATCCACTTCAGGCTCTTGTTTCGGATTTTGTCCGATTTCTGAGACCCTGAAAATGTGTTATAGCAGCAGTACATAACAAATGATTTACCTTAAGATGCCATAACATGTTTACATTTAAGTCATTTAGCAGACGCTCTTATCCAGAGCAACTTACACGAGCAATTAGGGTTAAGTGCCTTGCTCAAGGGCACATCGGCATATTTTCTCTCTCAGTCGGCTCGGGGATTCAAACCAGCGACCTTTCGGTTACTGGCCCAACGCTCTTAACCACTAAACTACCTGCCCTCAGGCACATAGTACACTACTATGTTTTATATGCACTGCATAATGACAATATATGCCTGAGGCAAACTATACTAATATGACATATTATACTATACTTACTTGGTCCAACTTGTGTAGATGGCATGTAAAGAGGTGATCTCTTCTGGTGTTTCTATCTGTGGGTCACCAAAAGCATAAATGCATAGGGCAGAATGATGTAGAGTATTTTATATTAAATAAGTCTCTATACATTCTTCAAAAAGTATTAAAAACAACTGAATACATATACAATCGCTTTAAATAAATTTATTCATTTGAAAAACAAATAGACGAAGACCATTTCGCAACAACGACGAGGGTGCGCATTTCACAAAATGTACAGTGCCACCATTCATGGCCCCAACGTGTGTTCAACTGTTACATAATGTTCTCCATCAATTATGGATGACTAAATCCAAGGTAGCGATTCAGAAAGACGCACCTTTCAAAGGGAAAGTAGATTGCAAACCTTATTTGTATAAAAGTAGGTTTATTCAGAGAAACAATATTTAACATAATTAAAGAAAATCTCACCTAATATTGAATTACACGACTTCAATCTGAGATAATCACACACATTTCAAAATGGTCAAATACACTATGTGCTCATATAGGTGTGAGAAGTTGAAACAAACAAAAAAAAGAGTTGGATAGTATCAAAACATACCTGAGTTACATGTTTTTTCAGCACGTTTGCAGCCTTCTGGTAACCATTCTCCTTTAAATGCTGATAAATCAAATAAAGCAAGGCACTATTTGATGCATTCGGGTCCTTTGAAGTCATCGTTTTAACGTTGAACGACAATCACTATCAAAATAATCAATTAAAGGGCTTTAATCTACTGATTAAGAGCTCTTCATCCTCACTGTCTGCAGGAATTTGCCATGTACTTACAGCGACTACGCCCCCTTCGATGTGCATGATGGGACATGTAGTGAAACGCACATTAGTATTTTAATTGGTACAGCATATCTCCCCTGATTTGACACTACCTTATTGCCACTTAAAATATGTTATTATCATCTCACAATTATTTAAAAATTCCATACATAGAGAGACATAACATATTATAAGGATTAAAATAGGACTTTATAAAGGCTCATGCATGTTTATAACAAGCAACAAAGCCTTATACCCGCAGCGTCATCAATGATGTCAGAACCATGTGAGTGGCATGTGTCCTGGGGATTCAGCCCCCTTGCCTTTGATAGTCAAATTCTTAAAATATAATCAGCAATACATCACACAGTACACAATACAAGGGTCTGATCACCTCCTAAATGTGTATAACAAACTAAACGTAGGTTTGCGATCCACCCACTAAAACCTTTTGGCATTTTTATGACCCACCAAATAGATACAATCATATTGATTTGTCCCAATCCACATGTGGATCTCAAACCATCATTTGTAAACTCATGCCGCGTTCAAAACAACTGGGAACTCGGAAAAATACGAGATCATATCATGACGTCAGTGATCTTCAGGTCGTTAAGGCGGAGCTCTAGAAAGATACCCGATTTTCCGAGTTGGATGACCGTTCAAATCGATTTTTCCATTTGGTGCTCGTTTTTTCCGAGTTCCCAGTTGTTTTGAACACACCAAAACCAGAAGAGATTTCCGAGTTCCCAGTGTCGAGTTCCCAGTTGTTTTGAACGTGGATCGTTGGCAGAGTAATGTAGGACTGTGGCGTCATAAGCTTATTTCCTGGTTTCCAATTCATCAACATACCACACGATGGCAGCAAACACCCTTTAACTCTCTCAGAAATTATACTAAAAAAGGCTGCGCAAAGGAATATAGGAAAATATCTTAAACAGATTATTCTACCAAAATGGCATGATGTTTGGTGTCAGTTAGGGTAGGAAAGGGGACATTACAAACACACCTATGCAACTAAAGCATAGTCCCGTGTAGCTCAGTTGGTAGAGCATGGCGCTTGCAACGCCAGGGTTGTGGGTTCGTTTCCCACGGCGGGCCAGTTTGAAAATGTATGCACTCCAACTGTAAGTCGCTCTGGATAAGAGCGTCTGCTAAATGACTAAAATGTAAAGCACATCAGGGGTGAAATGGGCACAAGCACATTCTTGGAATAGCTGTCAAACACATGACTGAAAATGCCAGGTTCAAAACTTGAGGAGATAATGTTACAGTACAAAGTAGCCTGTCTCTACATGGACTTTGAGTTATTTGTCAGTATAATATTAAATAAGTGTGCTGCATTAACAAGAAACCCACACAGAAATCCATTCACTGTCTTCAGTTTGTGCTGAGGAAACCCACAAGAACAACTAGTCACATAGTACACATTTTCTAATCTGATGTCATACCTGGATCCTGCTCCTGGCTCTGGTAGAGAATAGATATGGCCTAAATCAGCCCAACCAAACAACAGACTATTCCTGTTCATCCCTATGAGCACAAGACTGTGATTGCTAACCACATGGGCATAGTCTTGTGTTGGGACATGACACGTTTGCCTGTTGCCCTCCACCTCTAACCTCTAACCCTTCCACCAATGCAAACTACTCATTCCTCTAGCCCAGGGCTGCCCAACCCTCTTCCTGGAGATCTACCGTCCTGTGGGTTTTCAGTCCAACCCTAATTTAACACACTTGATTGTACTTATTAGCTGCTCAACAAGACCTCAACTAGCTGAATCAGATATGCTAAATTAGGGTTGGACTGAAAACCTACAGGACGGTAGATCTCCAGGAAGAGGGTTGGGCAGCCCTGTGTCTAGCCCAGCCACTTTAACAGTTATATTAAATGTAGGAACATGTTCAAACATTAATTATAATTTGTCAGCATAATGTATGCCATTCAGTAAAAATTATATTGGTTCTCAAAGACCATTTGATTTATTTGTACATTCCTATCATTATTTCATACACATTACTACCTGATAGGTCCAGCAGAAGGGACAGGCCAGAGGTCAGGTCTGGGGACCAGTTTAGGAGCGACACCAGACTGGAGTAGGAGGAGATTATGTCTGCAATGGGCAGGCAGCTCTGGAAGACCCACTTTTCAACCAATCAACATCAGACAACAACTATTCCACTGAATTAGACTTGTGAAAGGCTAACTCTACATTTGAGTCATTCAGCAGATGCTGTTATCCAGAGCAAATCTACAGATATTTCACCTAGTCGGCTCAAGTATTCAAACTATCAACCTTTCGGTAACCAGCCCAATGCTCTTAACCACTAGGCTACCTGCCACCTACTCTAGTAAAGGGGAAATTAATGAATGCCCATTGCCAACTCCCCTATTGGCTGTTACTTTGCTCCAAGGGATGGGAGAGAAGAGAAAGGAAGAAAATATTTTCCCCCTGCAAAGACAATCTTACACGGGTTTGCAGAGGAACTTCTGTCTTTAAACCTGTTTAAATCAATGTAGAGACAAGTAAGGTTCCATGGAAACCTTATTAATGCCTGAACAAATCCTAGGAATGGTTTGGTATTATTGCAGTCTAATAAAGACTAACATCCTGCTTGCTTACTGCAAGCGTTACAACTACACCCCCTCTCAAAGCAGCTCTCCATTGAGGAAGTTTGCACATTAATCTGTTGTCCGTATCCATACACCCCCCCCACCACCGAGGACAATTAATCCATCAATTCAATAGAAATTTGAGTAAAGTTAACTCTCATGCTCTATCTTTTGTTGGAATTTTCCCCTTCACAAAGATGTACAGTTTAGAAGTTGTTAAAGTCGTGTCTCCTTACAAATACCTATTTCCTTTTCAGTGTGGGAGGATGGGACTTTAAAGGACAGAAGGCAATCGGCAAGTTTCAATTACCTCAGTAACGGAACTACGAAAGGCAGCTCTTATGAACTGGAGAGAGAAAAGCAGTGTTCAGTGGTGGAACGCTACAGAGCGGTAAAACAACCTGCACTCTCCCAATGCCCAGGTGCACCATAAATATCCAGCTGCAACCTGCACTCTCCCAATGCCCAGGTGCACCATAAATATCCAGCTGCAACCTGCACTCTCCCAATGCCCAGGTGCACCATAAATATCCAGTTGCAACCTGCACTCTCCCAATGCCCAGGTGCACCATCAATATCCAGCTGCAACCTGCACTCTCCCAATGCCCAGGTGCACCATAAATATCCAGCTGCAACCTGCACTCTCCCAATGCCCAGGTGCACCATAAATATCCAGCTGCAACCTGCACTCTCCCAATGCCCAGGTGCACCATCAATATCCAGCTGCAACCTGCACTCTCCCAATGCCCAGGTGCACCATAAATATACAGCTGCAACCTGCACTCTCCCAATGCCCAGGTGCACCATCAATATCCAGCTGCAACCTGCACTCTCCCAATGCCCAGGTGCACCATAAATATCCAGCTGCAACCTGCACTCTCCCAATGCCCAGGTGCACCATAAATATCCAGCTGCAACCTGCACTCTCCCAATGCCCAGGTGCACCATAAATATCCAGCTGCAACCTGCACTCTCCCAATGCCCAGGTGCACCATAAATATCCAGCTGCAACCTGCACTCTCCCAATGCCCAGGTGCACCATCAATATCCAGCTGCAACCTGCACTCTCCCAATGCCCAGGTGCACCATCAATATCCAGCTGCAACCTGCACTCTCCCAATGCCCAGGTGCACCATAAATATCCAGCTGCAACCTGCACTCTCCCAATGCCCAGGTGCACCATCAATATCCAGCTGCAGCCCAAGTCAAAAACTGGAACTGGAGGTAAACCCCATTGCAGCAGACCTTCCTCTGCTATGGGGCTGGTAACGAGGTTATTCTATTCTAGGCAAACAGCTGTTAATAAAGTAAACAGTTGCAGGCATAGATTTTAGTCAGGCAACATTGGTGGATTCTTGACACTGATACAAAACATTGGGCTATGACCACTTTTTGGTGGTGGTGTAGCAGTGAAGCAGCAAAAGCATGAATTGTTGCGTGTGGAGAGGATGAACTTTTGGCACGTTGTAGTTGCACTGTACTGGTAATATTGAGCCTAGGGGGTATAAAGGGTAGAGGGAGGAGCTTGTTAGGGTGTGTGTTTGATTTGACAGGGTGAAACGTTCCATGTGAACACACAAGTATGAACAGTGCAGGTTCCTTTGAAGCGGACAGGTAAGTGTCATGCTTCATCAACCTAATGTCTACCTTCTCTTTCAAGCCACACCCTATCCTAAAGCATGAAGTCTATAATGGGATATATCAGGTATTGCTAGATGAATGTACACATAGAATGATTATGAGGTGTCCATTGTTTCAAGACTCTGCTCTTTAAGGGGCATGGTCAGTGATCTTGCAACCTTTAGAATGCAGAAGTAGCCACACCATAGGCATACTTATAGGTTGACTGAAGCCTACATACAGTGAGGGAAAAAAGTATTTGATCCCCTGCTGATTTTGTACGTTTGCCCACTGACAAATAAATGATCAGTCTATAATTTTAATGGTAGGTTTATTTGAACAGTGAGAGACAGAATAACAACAACAAAATCCAGAAAAATGCATGTCAAAAATGTTATAAATTGATTTGCATTTTATTTAGGGAAATAAGTATTTGACCCCCTCTCAATCAGAAAGATTTCTGGCTCCCAGGTGTCTTTTATACAGGTAACGAGCTGAGATTAGGAGCACACTTTTAAAGGGAGTGCTCCTAATCTCAGCTTGTTACCTGTATAAAAGACACCTGTCCACAGAAGCAATCAATCAATCAGATTCCAAACTCTCCACCATGGCCAAGACCAAAGAGCTCTCCAAGGATGTCAGGGACAAGATTGTAGACCTACACAAGGCTGGAATGGGCTACAAGACCATCGCCAAGCAGCTTGGTGAGAAGGTGACAACAGTTGGTGCGATTATTGGCAAATGGAAGAAACACAAAACAACTGTCAATCTCCCTCAGCCTGGGGCTCCATGCA